TAATGCAGTTGTTCTAGCTGATGCAAGAGATGCAAAAGTAATAACAAATCTTTTCAAACACATCAGGAGCAGACAGTCTCTCAGCATCTGTAAGACTAACTGATAATCAGGATAAAACACAAGCACTGAGAGAAGAAAACGTCACTGCAGAGAAGCTAAACGAGTCCTTTGCATTGATTCATGCTCACTATGAAAGAGACCGGGATGATTATAGCCCTTCTCTAGGGAAGGCTCATCAGAGGATCTGTCCAAAACTAAAGCAATCATAAACAATTTTAAGGAACAAACTGACAAAAACAAACAGGAACAAATCATCAGGACTAGATGATAATCTCTCAAGAGTTCTAAAAGAACTCATTAATTAAGTAGCTTAATTACTAACAGTGATGTGCAACCTCTCACTTAAAACTGCCTTGATGCCTGAGGACTGCAAGGATAACAAGAATGACATCCATTATTAGTATAGGATCCAAGAGAGATTGAAGTCTGATGTCTGAACCAGATAAATTAGAAGAAAACATTAAAAACTGGACAGTTGGATGAGTGCAATTCACTTGAAGACTCTTCTAAAGTCAAGTCCTGACTTACCATATTCTTTCAAGGGATCAACAAGTCTGTGCATAAAGACAACCCAGATGATATTGTCTATATGCGTTTCCAAGAGACTTTTTACAAACCCACTCACCCAAATCCTAATGAAACTAAACAGTCATGCCATAAGGGGGAATGTTCATATATAGGTTATGATGCGAAGGCGGAAAAACAGAATAGATTATTAATTACTTTGTGGGAGGAAGATGGAAAAACAGAGTAGATTCCTGCAAGGGAGGAAGTCTGTGGAGTTCCACAGACTTCTGTGCTGGGACTTGCCCTGTTCAACAGGTTCATAAACAACCTGGAAAGGCAGGTGAGCAGCAATATGGCAGAGTCTGCTGTTGACACTAGGATATTCAAAGCAGTAAAGCCGAATGAGGACTGAAGAATAGAAAAAAAAGACATGTAGCAACGGGTAATAAAATGGCAGATGAAATTTAAATGCAGATAGACACAAAATGAAAAGAAACAGAACAGTCCTACCTCCACATGTAAATTTACAGCCTTTGAACCAACCATAACAACTCTGGAGAGTGATCTTGGGTAATGATAGACTATTCTTCACGGGGATTCCATGAAAGGCTAGCTTAAATGCTCACAGGACGGCAAAAAAAAGCAATGCAATTTTGGGAATTACTGGAAAAGAGAGAAACATATGCAAGTATACAATCTATAATATGACCAACTCTTAACTGCCATATGCAGGTCTTGTTCACTCATTGCAATGTCATAAGATGTTGAGAGCAAAGGAGCAAGGATGCACAATGGTATGAAATAGTTTCCATAACAGAAACAGCTAAGGAAATAAGGGCTTAAGTAAGCAAGGATTCTTCAGCCTGGAAGAGACAACCTGAAGGGAATCTGATAAAGTTTTAGAAATTCAGGAGAGGTGTGGACTGAGTGACTATCAATCAACTATTCAACAACTTATTTCAGTAACCAGAAGTTATCAGAGCAATCTAGTAAAAGCTAAATTTAAAACAAGCAAAACGAATTATTCTTGCAATGCACAGTTGCTATGGGAACATGTTGAGCATGTCAAAAGCTTGTATGAGGTAGAGAAGAAACTGGAGGAGCTCATGGAAAAGAAGTAGGCTAGGGTTTATTAGGTACATGGGGAACCAAATCTAGCTGAGGAAGACTTCAAACTGAAAACAGGAGGTTTGGAAAGCATAGATGATAAATATCACATATGCTTGCCTAGTTTTCACTCTTCTCTAGACATTGGATTTTCCCCACCTGTAAGGTAAGGACGGACGGGCCTTTGCAGAGACCCAATATGATTAGTATTTTGTTTAATAGGCAAATGCTGCATTAAGTGACTCAGATGCTTAAAAAATGTTTTCTAATTAAATCCTGCTTAGGCTGAACTGAAGTATAAAGAGACTCTGTGGCTATACAGCAGGCACAAGATTTGATCTCCATAAATATTAGTCTCACACCCCATATCTGTGCACAGTCAGACTGAAAATAGCCTCTGGCCTGTACACTGATCAAAGATTACATGGGTTCTGGCAGGGCTCCTGAAGACCACCTAAACTCAGACAGTGCTTGACGGACTGACAGAAGGTACTGCCCTATTTACGCAATCTTCCTGCTCCAAAAGCGTGGCCTCCTTGTGGCTTCTGACACTAACCACAGCCTGAGAAAGTCATGCTTTATAGAGCTTATCTAAGGAGTTCAGAAGATGATGATCTGGAAGGAGTAGCAGCAGCTTGTTCAAAGATTTCTAGAGAGAGGCAAAACAGACTACAAAGTTCTGTAAGGCCTCTGCTGACACCTTTGTGTCACCTGACAGCCAGCAAGGGCTGTTTTGTTTCCCCCAAGCAAGCTTCAAAACCAGCTATGAGTAAAGTCAAGTAGAACATGCACTCCAGATGCTTGGAATTCTGCTGCTGAATTCCTCAGTTCTACCTTGCAGATCCAGCTGTCCCAATCCTGCGTACTCCTTACCTAACAGTATGACACATGAAATTAAGGTCTTTCCAACTAAGTTTTTCCCAAAAATCTTTCTCACAGAGCTCCTTTACTGCGCTCACATTTCTTCTGCTCCTCTAAACAGGACACAAAACGAGCTGGGAAAAGAAAAAAGAGTTGAAGCTGCACCGTGGTGAAAATGACAGAGACTAGCTGGGGTCAGCCATGGGATTCACAGTTGGTGTGAGAGCACAGCGTTAGTCAACATCTCCAGTCCTCATTCCATTTTTATTTTTACAATATTTAATTGTGGTTATTTTTAAAGTTACTGTTCTGAAAGCCCTTGAGAAAGACGTGAATGCTGTTGGTTTTTAATATATTTCCCAGTATGCTTTTAGCTGTCACAACTGCCAATAAAAAAAACACTATTTCCTTCTTTATACATCAGTTCTGAGGCCTATGGATTTTGAATGCTTTGCGTTAATAAAACTGATTTATTTCCTCCCTGCTGCTTGTTTTGCCAACAGACAACTTCATTCTTATTAACTCTGGCTAAGTCACTAGCTGTGAGCATATGGGGAGGAGAGGGAAGATTAGCAGTGCTAACTGCATCTGATGAAAAATGTTCCACTCCTCACAGCTCAAGGGTTTATTGTATTCTGCACAGTGCAGAAAAGAATGTGCGCTGCATTAATCATGTCCCTCTTCCTGCTTCTGCAGGGCTTCAGTAAGGTAACACCTGACAGGTGCATGTTTGTTTAAAAAACACAGTAACAAAAAAAATATTCTGAAAACATTGCATGTGTAACCATCACAACAGAACGATTTGTTCTAATACAAATTACTTTCTTACTAGTTAAGATTTTGATAAGACAGTGGCAGAATTTAACATAAAAAGCTGCGATGATCTAGTAAAAAAAGAGATGTTCTAGACGCACTTAATAAAGCAGACAAAAGAGAAGCTGATTTCTCCATATTACCTGTCAGCAAACATTTAGAACTTGTAGGGGAGCCTTGTGGCACAAACCCAAAAGTCTAGAAAAGTTTCCCTTAAAATTAGATATTAAGATTGAGAGAAAATTGTTACTCAATTTAAGCTCCATATTTTCAGTCATGTAATTTGTTCTTTCATCTTTAGCTTTTATACAACGCTCACAAGGAAAAATATCTGGGAATCTAGTAAAATACCACGCATTGGATATTTCTCCTATTATTTACGTAGCGTTCTACTGAAGTGTTTAAGACTATACAGTGCAAGAACAGCCCGAAACAAAAAATGCTGACTTATGCTACAGAAATGTTAATCAACAGGCATTTAGAAGAACTGAAATAACGTAATCTCTCTCCTCCTTTGATGAGCACTATCACAGAAAACAAGGAGGCAGGGAAACAGTAAAGGGAGAAAACATTTTTATATTTGGCTAGAGAAGGGATATAGATTGTGCAGCACAGCCAGTATTACTGCCCTCAATTGCCTTTAAAAATAGCAGCACAAAGACCTACTCCTAACAATTCCCCAAGATAAACTGCACAGGCTAACTACATGTCCTTCAGCTAGTTTAGGTTCTGAAGCAACTAAGGAAGTTCCCTCCTTTTAAGGATAATCTTATCGCGATTTAACATTCTGTGTTTTCAAGACCTCTCTCCACCTCTGAACACCAGAGATTTACGCAAAAATTATTTTCTTCTTAAACTTTACCAGGCAATAAAACTGAGTAATCTGCTATACATAGGACACCATTCTAACCCACAACGCAATATTTTAAATTGTGATCCTGGACCAAAATCTCAGTCTGGCACGGGAGGACAAATAAGGAAAGAATGAAATGGAGAGGTAATAAACAGCAACAGTCAATACAAAACCAGACCCTCAGAATGCATAAGAAGGTTGATAGCAAGTAACCTCTTGTAATTTTAGCTAGCAATTTTGAGGTATGTTGACAAAATCTTACCACTTATTTCTAGGTGCAAGTTCCAAATGCAGTGTCCTGAATGATTTTCCTTGGTGGAAGACATCATGTATTTCTCAGGTATATGCTGAAGCCACCACCTCACAGTTTAATCAAGGAACAAACTGTTCCTGTTTTCAAACTGCTTAGCTCTGGAAAGTTTATACCTTTGCAGGGGAGAGGGCAGCAGAAATTCCTATGATTTTCTATCATTAAATATTCAAATAAAGGATTTACCAGAGGGAAAAAAAAAAAAAAAGTATTTTTAAAACCAAGAAAAGCAATCAGGTACCCAGAGGAGTGTTTCTATAGATGCAAGGATTGACAAGATAATCAACTGTCTGTTTGCTGTATTGCTTTGAGTTTTTAAGCAAAATAATTTCATTTCAATTATTTACTACCTAGAAATGCTATCAACCATTAAAAAAAATATTTGGTAAATGTGCACAGAAATAGGTCACTGAAAACAGGCTTATACCCAATAATACACAGACACATGAGAGGATTAATATATAAAAATCAAGAGATGAAAAAACTGACCTGCTTCTTATGGTGCTTGTTTAGTAGGGCTAAAAATAAGACGTAACATCTGGAGCAGTCTGCCAAAGCTGCACAGAAGTCATCGTAGGAAGAAAGTTTGCTATAAAGGTACAAAAATAAAGTAAAAATGAATGTGATCTTTTCCCTTCTTTTTGTTCAAGTCACTTTGCTTTTGCCTCTCAGAACCGTATTTTCCAACAAATGAAATGAGCGCACATATTTTGTCTTCTACTATAGGCATAGAGCTACATAGAACATAACAAAAGTCTAGCTATCCTTCACACAGTGAAGGAAAGAAGGGAACATAAGGAGCTTCCTAACCTACTTGCCATATGGGTCCAGCAGGCAAAGTCTAACATGTCTCAGCATTAAACAGGATGTGCCTTGGCCATACCAAAAATACTGCAGTAACAGAGTGAAGTAGATAACCTTTTATTCCGACGTAGCCAAACCAGCAAATATTCACATTGTTGTCCAATTACAACAAAATAGAACAATACTTATAGACTCAGACAGACATAATCTGAACAGATTTGAATATCTTCGCTACAAAGAAGATTCCTAGGAGCTACTCACTGAGAGAAAAGAATAACCATTCTATATTCCTAGACAAGCAGCAACCTTCAAATCTCTGTTCTACGCTGCACAGCACAAATTCTTACTTTTTCTGCAACTGCAATTTCCATGAAGCTAATTAAATTGATTTTATGGTTAATTTGTATCCTCGGAGCATACAGTTCACCAAACTTAGCAAAAATACCTGAAGCAGCAGGAAACTTTAAATAAGACAAATTACCTTATTCTGCATTGAATTCTAGATGAAGTAAACATCCTTCTAAAGAACTGCAGCATAAGTATTGATTACAATTACAGAACTATTACATAACTGGACACTTTTCATGGCATTTTACCAAGTAAGAAAAAGATACTCATCAGAAGAAGCAAATACACTTAAATTGCTGTTGTCATTGCTAGAATTTGACATATTTAGAAAAAAACAAACAAAGTTTGTCTTTCCAAACATTCAGGGACTGCTGACACCAATGAACCCACTTTTGTGTTTACATGAACATGAAGTACATTCATGTGAATCACAGGTGAATCAGACGAATCACACTTTCTCTCTCATATACTTTATTTTTTTAATCACAGCCCCCAGTATGACTGAAAGCTTGTGTATTTTTTCCTTCTTTGTATTAAATATGGTCTAAAAGTAAGATTAAGAAATATTTAATATTTAATTAATAGTTATGTTTTAGTGCTTCATCCTGCCCTCTTTGAAGCCACGTGAGACAGTAACGCTGACCTGACTGCACGCTGACACAGACAGGCTTGCATTCTATACGTACCTGAGTATCCGGGCAATATAGGTGCACACATCTGCATCGTTCACGCGCTGCTGTAGCGCCACACAGAGCTCAGGGATGGCACCGTTGCTGACGAGCTGGCATCTCGCCTCGGGTAAATCAGCCAAATTTCGCAAAGTCGCTGTCATCTTCACAGAGAATATTTCCAGATTAATAAATCAGAGCTGTTTACTATGGCATCCGCACTGCTTTGAAAATTTAATAAAGCTAAGATCTGATTTGTTAACATCTAAGGAAGTCTGAATGCTCTGTTAACATTCTGCACACATGTATCTAGCAGTGAAAACGTAACAGTAAATGTGCGAGTGACAAAATTGGGTATAATGAAATAATTGTCTGGAAATGGAAGATTGCTATCTATCTTTGTCTGCATGCAGCTTTCTCCTTTGAGAAAAATACAATCTTGCACAAGTTTTAAAATTTTGTGTGCCTACCAATGGAAACTCACAATGCTGTGAATAGTTATTGATTGTTTAAATAATTTTTTAGCATAATGTCTGATTTTGCAAATCTGCATTTGAGTCCTGCAAATCAATAGAGACATTTAATATATTTTAATAATAACTGTGATAGCTGGAGTTGCAAACCAAGATGAATTGTTATTAAAAGACAGTACAATTTATTTTCTTTGATTAAAAAATTTAGAAGTTAAATAAGATCAAGATTGTATGTGAAGAGTATAAAATGAAACAGATTTAAGCCTCCAGTTTATTTTGGAGAAAGCAAAATATTTTCAGAAGATATTGTTCTACTTCAGGGAGGTTAAAGCAAAAAAAAAATATTCTACCACTTGTGGCCAGGCAAAGTGAACAATCTATTGCACACCCTGGGAATCTCTATTTCTCTTGCAAGATGAGAATATTCAAATGCAAAAGTCAGGCTGACAATGACATAAATTAGTAACTGATCTAAACCAGAAACACACTATATAGTTAAAGCAAGGTTATTTAATCTAAAGGGAAAGCAGAGAATCTTCAGATTTTGATTATTCCAAAAATAATGTATTAATATTCAATATAGGAATAAATATAGTTTGATAAGGCACAAAGACTATCTACCTGCAATGTTTTTAATCACAAAAATCTCTAGAAATAAAGCATTGTACCAGTAAGTTGGACTGCTTATTCAGTGATATGGAATTGCTAATTTTAAAGGAAGAATAGATAATAAATCTTGCCCTGTCAAAGAACAGACTAAGCTGATGTCTTTGAGCAGCTTTTGCTCAGAGGATGACTTTACATATAGCATTTACAAATTGCTTTCTTAAAAATATATGAGGTCTATGCACTACTCTGTCCATTCCCCAACACTTTTGAATTGGCTGCCCAATTTCTATACATTTGACAAAGAAGAACAGGTCTGTGGTTACTACCAGTTTTAGGAAGACTGTGGTTGGAGAGGAGAAAGCTCAAGTTAGTGTTTCGGTCAAGAGAAAGCAACAAGCAGCAGCCTCCTCGCTGCTCTGCAGCTGTGTGGCACCAAACCCTCTGTACTCCACAGCACAGAAAGCCAAGGGGAACCTGAGCGCTGCTAGAAGAAGATGATGTTGAGCACCAGAGTTGGAAGCACTCACTGCCACATGTAAGAAACATGTAAGATACAAATCTGTTTAAATCAAATGTGCTCACAGACCACCTAACTTCCTTCAAATCCCTCGGGTCTTACTTGTTTATACTAGTACAGGACAAAGATGAAAGTAATAAGCTTTCAAAAGAGAAAACATCACAAAATATAATCTGTGATTATTTTTGTTATTCAAAAGCTTTCACATCTACAGATCTGCAATGTTTAATTGTTTAGAGTCAATAATGTGAAAAAAATTACCAGAGGAAATGCATTATTACAGGATTTCTGCAAAGCAGAAATACTACAGGGGAATCTAAAACACTGGGAAATAGACTCAGATTGTAGGAAATCTCTGACTGACTCCCAATCTAACTTGAGAGATCTTTACAAAAATAACATATTGCCATCACTTCTCACTGCCTCCCAGTCCTGATGGACCACCGCTCCCTGGAGCAGCAAGAATTCCAGGAGAGTTTTCCTGCATCATTTCTCACCATTCTCACTTTCCACTATTTCTTCCTTCACTCTCCCTCTAACCTCCACAATCCAATAAAGCAATCTTTACTTTTTTGCTATTAAATAAATAAATACTTAGCTTCATTATCACTCTCCAAACATGGTATCCCTTAAGCGCTACAAACATCCAAAATACTCTGGTGGCAATGGTCAGAGGATACTTCCCATATGAGCCCATACTGGATCCTTCTCAAACAAGCTGCCCTCAGATTCACTGCCTATGGAGCATCCTGTTTTCAGGCTGCACTAGTAACACTTCTCCAATACACTGGCTTGTTTTTCATACTATAGAAAAAAAGTTATTGTGTCTCCTTTTTATATTTACAAAATCTCAAGCCTTTCCTTTTTATATTTACAAAATCTCAAGCCTTATGACCACACTCAAATTCCTAAGAATTTTACTATTACAGATCAGTGTCATACAACCTCCATATAGCTTAGAAATAAACTGCTGAAACACTGAGAGACAGTATGTGCATGCACCACATGGCTGGTAATTAATTTGCACCTCCCTTTATACTACCACAATAAATATCAGAGTTAATCAAATAGTTCTGATGATTGACCATCACTGAAAGAACAGTTATAGCCAGTCAGAAGTAGACTGGCTATAGATAGAGTATGTAGAGTATACTGAGTGTGTGTGTATTTATATATATATGACTGTATAGAAAATGTGGTTTCTCAATGAATATTATGAAAAGCTCTTTTCAATATCATTTCCTTTTGATGCTCTATAGTTTTAAAAAACAGTTAACACCTTACTAAATAATTGTTCTTCGTTCTTATACAACAGCATTTACCCTTTTTTTGCTATCTGCCGATCAAAATTTGCAGTGAAAGACCAAGTATGTCATAAAAACTTTCATATTCTCAAGATGTGGATTGCAAAAGAACTTTTCTTCAATATTAAATGGAACTATTGTTCCATATATATATATATATATATATATATAAATAAAATACATAATGGAACTATTCCTGCTTCTGTCTATACCAACTGAACAATTAGCCCACATGGCAGAAATTAATGTATACTTGTATACTGTTAAGGGAAATGGAAAGAGAAAGTCACACAACAGTAGGAATCACTACTTTTTTTTTCATAAGTAGAATGAAAACAAAGTGTCTTCAATACTCCAGAAGAGCTACAAAACAGCAAAACAGCAACCTCAGTAATAATGTTATTTTACAGAGAAGAGACAGTTTTCAGTGTTGGCTTTTCCTCAAGAGAATCCCCAAGGCCTTCTTAGAAAAAGCCATACAAAAGTACCTTTTGCTATTACTTCAAATTATACTGAAAGCAGCACATTATAACGACCAAAACAAAAATGTATAATGTTAGTTTCCTTTGGTACATTTGCAATCTAATCCTTGGATTCTAAAACCAAACTTATCTACTCACAAATTGGGGTGGGGAGGGGAGGGAATAGCATTCTTGCAAAGCGGCAAAGTTCACCCTAAAAATACCCCCATTCATCTCTTTGCTACTTGGACCCAGCTTTGCATTTTTAAAGGCCATACCTGGCAATAGTTCTCTTTGTATTTAACATAAATTTCTACCTCTTTTTGCTCATCAGGAGTCCTGTTAGTTGCTTAACACCAACAGCAGCCAGCAAACTTAATTCGTTAGCATGTTCCAACGTTCCAAAAGCTGCTCAGCCATAGTTTTTGTAATTCCCTCTTCCTTAAATCATACTCCTTCAAAAACAATTTTTCAAACAACTATATTTTCCTGCACTTTCTGAAATGAACTTCTCTAGTAATAAAAGTGTATTCTAATCTAGTTTTATTCTAATCTATTCTAATTCTAATTAGAGATTTGTACTGATTCATTATTTCAGTTAAAAGAATTTAGGAAAAGCACACATTTTAAGTTTAGTATAACATCCAGCACTCTTGTCAGCAATATAAAGTAATAACAGAAAACAGTTTTATTTGGCTCCTAAAAATATTTCTACAAATTTCAGATTTTCTAAAGGCTCTAAAATTAACCACATAAAAACCTACCATAGTTAAATTTTGTTCCTGAGGACTTCAAACAAACTTAAAAAAAAAAAAAAAATTGGAGGGTAAACTCTGTCAGTGATACAGAATTACATGATTTCCTCTTATAATACTTTTAATTTTCCCCTTGCAGTGTATACGTTTTTAGAAATAAAAGTAAATGCTAACCTGGACCAAAAGGTGGCCCAGGTTGGAGAAATATGTGTCATTTTCTTTTATATTATTAATCTGCTTCATTAATTGCAGCAATGTTTCAACAGCTTGTTTGTTGACCATTTCATTAAGGAGTACTGCATTTCCAGACATGAATTTTACAGCTCCCATGCAATACAGGAGAGCTTCGTTGTTTTTTTGGAGATCTTCAGTTCTCAGGACCTCCAATAAACAATCTAAAATGAAAAAAAAAAATCAGTATTCATAAAGTCTAAGATTAATATTTTATATATGACAGAGTCCGGTCCTTGAAGAGAATAACAGCTCAGAGCAGAGAGTGGAACTCTGACTCAACCCTTTATAACGCATTTCTAACAAGTGGGCCAGAAAAATTGGTTATTTGGATTGCAACCAAGGGCCACTTACTGATGAATAACAGAAGGGCTTGAATTTGTTTCCCCAGGCTTCAGGAACCACCACAAGCTGCAAATACACATTGCTAACTGTTGAAATTTTCAGACAAGATACATGAATGTGATTGAATGTACCTGGAATTTCATGTATGAAATCTGACATATTCCAAAGGGACTTATTTTCAGGATTGGGGTTCCACCTCCCCCCACCTCGGTACTTTCTGAAAAGTGTCTTAAACATCTCAAAGAGAGCACTCAAAGCAGAGATGCCTGTGCTTTCAAATATTTTTGAAAAGCCTTTCTGTAGCCTTTTAGCTTTACTATTTATTACTAGTTCAATTATTGTAACATTTTTGCTTTATGCCACCTGAAGTTTTAAAATTAACAATTGCTGTTATAAGCCAAACGTATATTTCACAGTCAAAACGTGTCACAGATTATTAAGCAATCCTAGCCAGTTTTACACTTTTACTTTTCCAGATAACTAACTGAAGCTTGCATTCACTTCTGCTTGGACATCTTCCATATAGGTACATAAAGCCATTTTCCCATATCATTAAACCTGAAGGACACTGAGCAATCTTAGTTGTTCTCTTTGTCTCTGAGTCCTTTCCACTTGATCTTACAACCAAAACAGTCTTCATTCCTGCCACCATACACATGCTGAACTTTAACACTAAGAGCATTCTCACTCATTAAACAGGCTACCCACGTTTTACCTGATGCAGATAAAATAGATGTTTTCAAGATCTAGGGTAGTAAGATATAAAGTTTTAATGAAAAATAAAGGAATGAATATCAATATAGAATTTAGTTCACATACCTTCATTTTTTCCATATTTCTCATATTCGAAAAGTGGTAACACTTTGAAAAGTGAAACACTTGATAAGAGGGTCTCTTAGCGAGAGATTCTTGCCAGGAGCAACAGTTAAAACCCAGGAAAGAGTCATTTTTGACAGTTCTCTGAAATTGTTGGCTCAGTTTCTGCAGCAGCAGACAAAAAAGCCAACAATTTTTCTCGGTATCCTGCTTGATGATGGCCAACAAGACAAAGGGCATTATCTTGCTTCTGTAAAACCTTGATACAGCCACATCTTGACTACTATGGGCATTTCAAGAAAGAAACAGCACAGCCAGAGGAGCTATAGGAACAGGCTACTAAAACCAACAAGAAAAATCAAGCAATTCCCTTGAAGAGAGACCAAAAGGCTGGCACATCGCAGTATGAAAAAAAAACAGACTAAGATATATATGACTGAGGTTTACTGAGAGCTTAAACTCATAAATTCTGCAATACTAGAACATGGAACACTTAGTGAAAATAGCAGGCTTAAAATAACATACAGAAAACTTCTGGAAGTTGCTGCTGTAGGGGACTGTACACACCGAGTCAAAAGGGAATCAGAAAGATCAGAAAGGAATTATACAAATTAATGGATAAAAATGCCCCAACCGATAGAAAAGAAGTGTTAGGCAGGGATGCCTAATGCGCGAAGCATGGGGAATAAGCAGGACGAACTGGAGAACCATGTGCGGTCCCATCGTCATGATCTCATTGGAATCACAGAGACGTGGTGGGATAGCTCACACGACTGGAGCGCTGCCATGGAAGGCTATGTGCTCTTTAGGAAGGACAGGCTGGGAAGGCGAGGTGGGGGAGTTGCTCTTTATGTGAGAGAGCAACTGGAATGCATGGAGCTCAACCTGGGAGTGGAGGATGAGCGAGTTGAGAGCTTGTGGGTAAGGATTAGAGGGCAGGCTAATGTGGGAGACACTGTGGTGGGTGTCTGCTACAGGCCACCTGACCAGGACGAGGAGGTTGATGAGGCCTTCTATAGGCAGCTGGATATTGCCTCACGGTCACAGGCCCTGGTTCTCATGGGGGACTACAACTATCCTGACACCAACTGGAAGGACAACACAGCCAGGCACAAGCAGTCCTGGAGGTTCCTGCAGAGCGTCGACAATAACTTTTTGACGCAGGTTGGGGAGGAGCCGACGAGGAGAGGTGGGCTACTGGACCTTGTGCTATCAAATAGGGAGGGCCGAGTAGGAGATGTTAAGGTGGGGGGTAGCCTCGGCTGCAGTGACCATGAGTTGGTGGAGTTCAGGATTCAACGAGGAGGAGGCAGGGCTGTAAGTAGCCTTGCAA